TGTACCTTGGATTATGGCCAGGGTCAGTATTAGGTGGTACATAATCATTTCCTTTCATAGTGTACGTTTTTTATGAGAGTGCCCTTGAGTCTTAAAAAGGTGACAGAAGACATTGTTCTACTAAGTCAGAAAAAAGATTAATAAACATTCTGTTTTCCTATGTGTGGCCAATGCTTACATGGATTTTTAACGCAGTAGTCTGCTTCACTAACCCCAGCTACTCAACCAAACAATCCTCAATATTTCCACTATTATACTTCAGGAGATGATTATAAGCTTATTTAATATTTATCAATTTCTAAATCTGCCCATCTCGAAATTGTAACTTTGGCCAGTGAACATGGCATTGGAAACCAATAATCAACAATAATATGTCATTTCATCCAAGGCCAATCTAATGCAAACTATAGAACCAGAGGCATGTCAAGGAAAAAAACCCTGCTTTGACAAGCTCACCCAAACTGCACACCCAATGCCAGGGGAGCTTCCGAGTCTTCAAGAACTTACCAAATGCCAGCAGAGTTGGAGCCAAATGAATCTCAGTGGATATGATATTCCAAAGGGAAATTGCTGTGAATGAAATATCTCACTTTTTGCATCTCACTAATTGGCAGTGCTTAATAGATGGGATAGAGGGACGTGGTGGCTCAGTGGCTAAGATGCTGAGCTTGTCGATCAAAAGGTCGGCAGTTCAGTGGTTCGAATCCCTAGTGCCGCATAACGGGGTGAACTTCTGTTACTTGTCCCAGCTTCTGCCAACCTAGCAGTTTGAAAGCATGTAAAAATGCAAGTAGAAAAATAGGGACCACCTTTGGTGGGAAGGTAACAGTGTTCCATGCGCCTTTGGCGTTTAGTCATACTGGCCACATGACCACAGAGATGTCTTCAGACAGCGCTGGCTCTTCAGCTTTGAAACAGAGATGAGCACTGCCCCCTAGAGTCGGGAACGACTTGCACATATATACAAGGGGAACCTTTACCTTTTAATAGATTGGATATGGAACATCCCCAGTGTATTGGTTGTAGTGAACCAGGCAAAAAGCTCCACATTTAATTCGGCTTCATGCCATGCAGGGTTTTATAGGTAGTAACCAACACCTGGATTGGACTCAGATGTCCACTGGAATCAGCACCCCTGACTGGTCCAGAGAATATCATGATTGTTGGTATTGAAAGCTACTGAGAAATCAAAGAAAACAAAGAAGAATGTAACGTGCCATGCCACTTGCCCAAATTTTTCTACAATTCCAATAAGTGCTGTTTTGTCCCATATCCTGTCCTGAAGCCTTTTTGAAAGGGGTCTGAAAAATCCTCAAAGCTCTTTGCAGCGCAACCGATATGAATCAGCATGGCAAAATTCAAGAAGCATGGTAAACTGCCACTAACTCTGAGATTACATTTTCAATCTCTTTTTTCATGTAAAATGGATACATTAACACAATGAAGAAGAATGGGGGGAGTGCCCAGAGTTGTGGCCCACCGGAGGCCAGCGAAGCTGGCAGCACTCAGACAGTGAGGAAGTTGGGGAGGAACTTGGGCCAGTCCTGGGGGCTGGGGAAAGCTCAGACGAGGGCTCTGTATCAGAGGCAGAGAGGGGGCCAAGGCCATCTGATAGTTATGTTCTGTCTCTGGAGTCTGACATCAGTGAGGCAGAACAGCGGGAGCCTGTTCCCAGTGTCTGCATGCGCAGAGCTGCCAGAAGACAAGAACAATTAAGGAAACAGGGTCAACTTGGGAGTAAGGTTTGGAGATGATTGGCCCCTCCCATAAGACATAAAAGGAGCAAACGGGATGTGAGGTTTTGCAGGAAGCAATTAGTTCATCTGGTCGGTTCAAGCTTTGAAAAGTTCTGTTTGACTCTTTGCCAAGTTTGGCCTTGCCCTGTGTTTGGCAATTAGTTCTCTGGCAGCATTCCAAGGGAGATAAGGTAGGTGTTTCTAAACATTCCCCTGAAAGACTTGTTTGTGAAGCCTTGCGGACTGTGAATGACAATAATTCACAGCCGTGTAAATAAAAGAGGTTTTGCCGGGACTAAGATTGTGCTTTATACTTTCTAAGGAAGCCTAAGTCAGAACAAGAGTCACTTCATTGGTGAGGTGGGTGGCATATAAATTTAATAAATAAATAAATGAAAATAAAAAAAGGTTTGTTGCATTTTTTTTAGGCTTGGTGTTACCGTCATCTTTTGTCTGCTGGATAAACCCCTTCTGTCTGCTGGATAACCCCCTTCCCAAGTTAGGGGCACAAAACCATCTGTGTTCACTATCCAGAGTAGAAGGCTACAGATTTAATCTCTGTCTACCACAGCAGGGATAGAAAATGGATTGTCAATTGGTGTCCTCTCTCCTGAACCCTTTTTGGAACATCTGATAAACCCAAAATGTAAGGGAAAATGTTAGATCTCAGTGATGCATTTTTTTAAAGTTATTTCATTAAAATAAGAATTAAAAAGATACATAAACACTCTGCTTGTCTTTCTGACAGTATTCCTCTCAACGTTCATTGCAACTCAAACAAAAAAAACCCCAAAACCTTAGCTTCTCTGGCTCTCCTCAGATAAGGGATAATGGTGCAATGTGCTTGCTTTCATCTTGATTTTAAACTGTTTTCAACCAAGTAGCTGTATTGCAAGGAATTAATTTCAGGCAGGAATAAACAGGAATGCGATGCCAACAGTCAGACAAGCCAAGACTGCTAAAATGGGGAAGATCAAGAGGCTGGGAAGTTTTTTTGACAAAAAGTCTTCTTCCAGGATACAGAAGTACGGGGAGGGACTACCCAACTACTAATGCAGGATTTTTTTTACCAAATAAATCCCTGAAGTTTTAGAAACCACTTGGCCCGAGAAACAGTGCTTAAACCACTTACCTTTGCTGAAGTTGACACACTTGAGACATTTTCATAACAATATATAAACTTGTGCTTTGTGGAAAGCCATAAAAGCGTCTTTTTGTTGGAGCGCTCTCCAATAGTGATTTCATGCCATTAGCACAGTATTTTCACCCTTTTCTTCAAGGGCATCTCTAGCAGTTCTCATAGCTTATGCTGCAGAACTAAACTTGTCACTTTAAAATATATTCATGCAAGGCACTCAGTTCAAGCAAATACAGTAGTTTTTGTTAAGGCTGCCAAGCTGAGTGCCTTTTCCACAGAGATTACAATTTATATAAAATAAGCCATGATGTAGCTAGATGGTTGGAACTGTTGGTTCTTGACCAAGTTTGGTTTTCCTTTCCTTCTAAGGTCAAAGTAACCCAAAATGTGAGTGGATATGTATGTATGTATGTATGTATGTACGTACAGTATGTATCTTGTCTGTCAGTCAGTCTGTCTATATATTTAATATAGCTGCCATCTCACAGACGTCAATGTGGGTAGCACACACATACAAATAAACTACCCAAACAAAACCATGAAAAAACAAAGCAGATTTTAAAAATTTACAGAAGTAACCCATCTCTTAAGCCTGGCAAATATTTGTAACTGACTATAAGGAGCAGGATTAGAAAAAGGAAGTTGCTTCTCCTCTTCTTTCAAACAACTCTAGTGTACAAACTGAAGCCCCACCTTTAAACAACCTGGATCAAATCCAAATATGTGATCGTATTTGAACATCCTCAGCTGTGGGAGGAATTTTGGGGAGACATCCCATAATAGTAAGGGCTCCTAGGACCGTTCAGATCATAGCCCTATTGCATCACATGTATTCATCTTCATCGGCACAATTTACTGTGCACAATTTACCATGCACTTACAAAAAGGAGAAACAAAAGAGTTGACATACCACCACCATCGATGCTCTGTCGATCCTGGGTTTTTACAATGAGACAACTTTGAAGGGTTTTGCTGAAAAATAGACTTTCAAATTTTGTCTTAACCAATTGGTAAACTCATTGCACAACCATGTTAATGATGTAATGTAGAAATCTAAGAAAGGATGCAGCGTAGAGACTATAGTCCATGCTTTTCACTGGAATACAAATTGGTAGCAACTGATATTCCAGCAAAAGATTTTCATCAGATGAAAATCAACATGGTGTGTGTGAATTTTTGCCCACGTAATGCAAGTTTTTGCATTGCAGCACTTTAAACCTCCTTCAGAGCATTCTTGCCTTAACGCTGAGGAAGGGCCCACATATGGCTTCAAGTGAAAAAGAAGCTATTCTTATCGTTATTTCACTTATTCTGACAGGTAGATTTGGTTAATTTTTTTTCACTGTCTCTTGGGAAAGTTTAATAATACTTAGTCCTACCTCAAGTACTGTATAGATTTATTTCTATTTTTTTTAAAAACTTTTTTCATAAGGCAATGTGAATTCTGTGCAAAATTATATAAAAGATATTATAAATGTTGCATGCAGATGTCTATATTAAGCCTCCCAATGCTTTAAAAAAAGACATCTGATGGGGATAATCTAAGTAAAAAGCAAATTATAGTTTACCATAAGGATAGTTTACCCTAACAATCTTACTCTTCTGGGTTTATTTAAATTCTCAGTGTGTAATTTTGGGGGGGAGGGCATGGGGCATGATTGTGTATGTAAATCATGGCAGAAATGCTTGAGAAACTCCATTTCTGATCTCTCCAGCCTCGATCCAACTTTAGATGAGCTATTGGAGATGATGAGAAATAGGAAGATTGACCATTTGGGTGATTACTGGTTACTTCTGGCAATGCTATCCCACTAAGAATCAAAAATTCTTTCTTAGTAGAAAGACCAACATTTATTCAATCTTTGAGAAACCATTTTTTCTTGAAATTCGATACAAACATGGTGTTGGCTGCTATCCCATAGGGATACTATAGCAATATATTAATATGAACTGCTATGAAAATATTGGGAACGTTAATTACATCTGATCGTAAAACATGTGGTAGGCTTTCCCCATAGCTTATATAAACATAAATATAGGTATAGCATTAGAATCCATGTTTATAAGTACAGAATGCTAAAACCAGGAGTATGTAATGTGTTAACATAAAAAACTCCACACTCTAGTTAGAAGATGAAATGATTTATTCGTGTAGAAACTTAGATTCAATATATATGGTGGTACATAACATAAATCCTTGTTCATCTATGTATTGTCTTAAATGGAAATGGTGATTTTAAGGGTTTCTAAACAGTGGAAGTTCTTGCAAATCTGCCCTTCGCTTCTCCTACCAATCCCATTCTCAGAGTAGTCTTCAGAGCATTCAGATTATCTTCCACTTCCGAGAAACTAGCCAAGATGTTCACAGCAAAGCTTCAACAGCACTGCTTCAAACGAAGTCCCATTCTCTGTCAAAGCCCAGCCACATATTTTGCTCAAAGCGATTAAGACTTGAGGAGACATCAATGAGAAGACGACTGGGAAAACACATATATCTCTCACTCAACACAATTCATTGGATTGCATCTAGAAAACAGTATCTTGGCTCAGCAGTCAGGATACTAACAGCTCACATTATTTAGGAGACAGAGAGATGGGACGGAATGAATAGAATGCATTTTAAGAAAATAAATATTGTGCTGAACGTATTTACAATATGGAATTGCTGGCTATCCTGCACAAGTGGTATACAAGACATTTTGCCCTTGTGTAATGCTCACAATCAACATAATATATACATAGAAATCCTAAGAGTATCCTGAGTATTTACAGGATGTACCAACTGGGTTTATTTAGAATTGGACAAGTAAGAAGAAACTCATCAGTTTCTTCACTTCAGTAACAAGTGAACTCCAAACATCTCACTGAAACTCAAAGAAAAACATTAATGTGTTGTTGGCTATCAAGCAGATAGCCCGATTCCAATTATTACTTTCACAGAAACCTATCTCTTTCTGGTGTATCTTCCCTTCCTAAGTGAATTGTCTTTCTCTTTTCTGCCTCCTTAGAAATTGAAGGTTTTAATGGAAGTTCCAGCAATGTTCTATTTGACCTGATTACACCCAGGTTTTAACTTGAAACATCTCAGGAGAAGTATTGCACACACACACACACACACACACACACACACGAAACTCCCATTCACGTACTGCATGGCGCTGCCAAACTTTTACAAAAAACACCTCAGCCTCTGCCATGGGTTGCCGTTAAAATTTGAAGAGGTCTATGAAGTGCTGAGGTGACACTGGTGTGAAGCACCCAGTGGGATCGTTAGCTGTACAAGGATGACCCGTGTCCTAAAGAAAGGAAAAACACCGTTATTCTTGTTATGGACTAGAAAATTGCTGGCCACCAAATGGGACTTTGTACAGGAAGCAGCGCTGAGACAAAGGAGCATCTGGGTCAAAGTCTCCTGCTTCTATTTTTAAATCAGAACTGAGGCTAGATCAAAACATCTCTTGAACTCTAAGGCCCCACAAACAATTCTCGAGTTCAAGAATGCATAACTTGTAACCCAAGCCACAACTTACCTCCTTAAGCACTTGCCAAAAGTTTTTCTTTCAGTATGAAACAAGAGGGAGAGATTGTTAATGCACTGGTATTTATTCCTAGCCTGTCAGCTACAGTAAATATTTACTTGAAATATATGGGAATAATTATTTTGCATGTATTTAAGTAATGTCACATGGGTGCTTTGTTCAGTCCCACTCACTCCAAAACTGCAGCTTCCAACGTACTATTCAAAAGTCAAGCATAATTCTTGGCTGGAAAAAAAAGTCGATTTCATCCCTCCTAGAAAGATTTTGGGAAATATAGGTAGTCCTCAATTTACAACCATTTGTTTAAAGATAGAAATTACAATGGCCTTGAAAAAAGTAACTCACAACCTATCCAGGAGTGAAATGGTGAAGGAGGACTCAGAAGGTGAAGGAGAGGATTTGGCAAGGCCTCCCTCTCCAGGACCCTCCTCTCTGGCAATGCCTCCGGTTTCCTCTGAAGGCCAGGAGATATGCCAGGAGCAAGGCACTTTGGAGCAACCGCAGATAAGAGAGTGAGGGGGATGAGTTTTGGCTGGATCCCAGACAGCGTTGGAAGGATAAGGTGCGCTGCAGAGAAAGAGGCGTGGGCGGGCCAGAGATTGAGCTGAGTCACTGGACCACACCCCACAAGGGATAAAAGGGGGTGTGTCGGCTATTCAGGCCTTGTGACGGACAAATTGAAAAGCTCAGAAGTCATATTGTGTTTCTAGAACCCTGTTAGAAGCTCTTTTTGGATTTCTTCGGACTGGACTTTGACAATTCTTTGCTTTGTGGAATTAATTTGGTATATCGGACTGAGGAGAAAAAACCTCCCTTAGTGAGTAAAATCTCTTGGCAGGCAGTTCATGATTCGCTGCCAAGACGATTATCTTAAAGGAATTCCTGACTGTTTGATTCATTAACTCCTGGCTGTCTGTTTGTGTGTGTGCGTGTGACGGGGACAGAACAGAAATTCAGATGGTTCTATCTGGCTCGGGTGAACCGGTAGTGGCAGCTGCAGGAGGCTCCGCCCACCCACACGGACGTCATGAGGTTGCTTTTTTGCTCATGATTTTAAGGCTTTGCGCATGCGTGGATGGCGCCTGCACATTTGCGAACCGGTAGGGAAGGTAAGTGAATTTCACCCCTGAACCTGTCCCCAAAGTTACAACCATCGCCTACTCCTGTGGTCATGTGTTCACAATTTGCATTTACCACTGGTTGCAAGAAAAAGCATCCTTCCAACAAGCAAAGTCAATTGGGGAAGCTAGATGTATTTATTTATTTATTTATATCCCACCTTTATTATTTTTATAAACAATTCAAGGCGGTGAACATATCTAATGCTCCTTTTTCTTCCTTTCCCCCACAACAACAACCCTGTGAGGTGGGATGGGCTGAGAATGAGTGACTGGCCCAAGGTCACCCAGCTGACTTTCATGTCTAAAGCAGGAGTTGAATTCACCATTTCCTGCTTTCTAACCTGGTGCTTTAACCACTAGATCAAACTCAGATTTGTGATTTGCTTAACAATTGTAGTAAAAATGTTCATAAAATCAAGTCCAGTCACTCAATGACTTGCTTAATGACTACATCACCTAGTAGCTGAAATTCCAGTCCCAATTATGATTGTAAATTGAGGACTACTTTAGCTTTTATTCAATCTGGCACTCTCAAATGACACTGTAGATTTTAAAATGTACAAACATGTCCACAATGATAAAAGATTCTGGAACGCTCAGTCTCAACATCCTTGGAGTGTACCACATCAGGAAGACAGCTGCAGATAGGTCTTAGGAACTGTCTTAGGGAAAGACATATCTGGGATTGTCTATATCAGCTAATAGCAAATCTTGTGAGCCTCAGCCTCTACTCTCAGAATATCAGCACTAGGGTTGGTCTACTCCACAGCTGAATACTGCGCCCCCGTTTAGCTTAATAGCTGCCACACCAGCAAGATCGATGCTAGACTAAATGATACAATGAGGATCGTAAGCGGTTGCATAAGATCTACTCCTACTTGCTGGCTCCCCGTCTTGAGCCATATTGCACCACCAGCCCTACGAAGGCAGGAAACCTTAGTGAAGGAGTACAACAAAATTATGAGAAACCCACGTCTTCCTGTGCACGCTAATCATCCTGATCTATCAATTGGCAGTCTTAAATACAGGAAGCCCTGCTGGCATTTGCTCAACAGCTAACAACTTTGATGTCAACACACAGTGGAAAGCCAAATGGGCAGTTATGTAGATGACCCTACACAAAAGGTGGCAGGTTTTGACCTTCCTTGCCAGCATTGGTCAACTCTGAACAGGATCCATACCGAACATGGTGTCTGCCAGGACTTATTGTTTAAGTGAGGTCTTGTCTCTACCCGTGTGACTGTGGTGCTCCTCGACAAAATATCCACCACATTGTGTCTGAATGTCCATCAAGAACTTACACCGGCCCAATGTCTGATTTTTTTCAACATAGACCAGTTTGTCCTTGAATGGCTGGGTGGGCTGGACATTAACATTTGAACTACTATAACTCCATGTATTTGCCATATGCTAAATAAATAAATAGCAAATCTTGTGTTCCAGACTAGATTCTTTCACAGCTATACCTGGAAATGTTAAAATCTACTCTTGGAGCCCATTATGACCAAAGCAGGTGCTTTACTATTCTTTGCAAAGAATTCTTATATATTTTGTAACCAGTGGTGGGTTTCAAATTTTTTTACTACCGGTTCTGTGGGCGTGGCTTGGTGGGCATGGCATTGCTTGGTGGGCATGGCAGTAAAATCTCCATTCCCTCTCCACTCCAGGGAAAGGTTACTGCAAAATCCCCATTTCCTCCCGATCAGCTGGGACTTGGGAAGCAGAGAATAGGTGGGGACAGGGCCAGTCAGCATTTTTACTACTGGTTCTCCAAACTACTCAAAATTTCCGCTACCGGTTCTCCAGAACTGGTCAGAACCTGCTGAAACCCACCTCTGTTTGTAACACATTTTCTCCTTCAGGCAGATGAAGCCAAGAATTAAGTATGCTTGCATTACAATTCCTGGTGACTGCAGTTCTTTCTGAGAAATTTCTAAGACTTAGTGCAGCTTTCCCTAACTTTTCCAGGACACTGGAACTACAATTCCCAAACTCCTGGCGAGGCTAGCTTGGAATTGTCAGGCTCAAAGCCACTGCCTTCCAAAGGTTCCAAGTTGAAGAATAATACCAGGGCATTGTCACTTGACTTAAGAGCTTTCAAAAAGTTCATGTTATAAAATGCATCTGTGATACCGGGCTCATATAATGTGATCAATAATTAAGTAATTTGCTTATGTTTAAGTTTGTGGAACAAATCTGGCCATTTTCATGTAAACTATGTCCTGGTGCCTGGAGGCCATATGGATCTGGATTGGGAGAAACAGGCTCAGGCTCAACCCATCCAAGACCGAGTGGCTGTGGTTTCCGACGTCCCGATATAGTCAGCTGGTGCCATCGCTGACTATTGGGGGCAAATCATTGGCCCCCACGGAAAGGGCTCGCAACTTGGGTGTCCTCCTGGATTCATGGCTGTCTTTAGAAGAGCACTTGACGGCCGTGACTGGGAGGATTTTTCATCAGGTTCACCTGATCCGCCAGTTGCGTCCCTTTCTAGATCGGGACTCCTTACGCACGGTCACTCATGCCCTCGTCACCTCCTGTCTGGACTTTTGAGGAGCACTCAGAGGCTCCAACTGGCGCAGAGTGCGGCCGCGCGGGTGGTGACGGGAGCGACGTGGCGCTCCCATGTAACACCTCTCCTGCACGAGTTGCACTGGCTCCCGGTGGTCTTCCGAGTGCGCTTCAAGGTTTTGGTTATCACCTTTAGAGCGCTCCATGGCTTAGGACCTGGTTATTTACGGGACCGCCTGCTACCACCAATAGCCTCCCACCGACCAGTACGCTCCCACAGAGAGGGGCTCCTCCGGGTGCCGTCGGCCAAACAATGTCGACTGGCTGCCCCCAGGGGGGGAGCCTTCTCTGTGGGGGCACCTACTATCTGGAACAAGCTCCCCCTGGAGATACGGAGGATCCCGGATCTGTGTACTTTCCGTCGCGCGCTCAAGACTTTCTTATTTCATCAAGCTGGCCTGACCTAAGTCTTTCCCCTTTTTAAATGCAAATTTTAAATTTGGTTTTAAATTATTGGGGTTTTAAATTTGTTCAGCCAAATTATTTAATTCGTTTTATTTTATTTTAAATTTTGTATTTATATGTTTTATTCTATGGCTGTTCACCGCCCTGAGTCCTTCGGGAGTAGGGCGGTATATAAATTCAATAAAAAAACCCAAAAAATCTATGATTTATGGCTTAACACCATTTGGGAGCTTAATCACCTAATACTCCAAAGTGAGTTACTTTGAAACGGAATACTATGATGCTACACAGGAAAATCAGAATTTCTACTTGTAAAGTGCTTCAAATGAAGCACTTAAAAAAATTTTTTTTAAAAAGTTTCACACTGAGAGATTGTTGCTTTCCATTTCCTTAACTACCGCAGAGCAATATATTTCCCACAGTGTTTAGATTTTCAAAGCCCTTTTATTCATTCAGAACAAATGCATATAGTTATCAGGTCATTTAAAAAACAAAAAAGTCATCTTGTGATGTGTATCTCTGCACAGATCTGCTTTGATAAATGGCTGGGGTTGATGGCAGTTTAAGAATCCTTTTTAACTCTTGCCCTCCTTGTCTCTTTCATTTTCTAAACCCTGCTATTATTCTACTAGTCAGTTCTAGCAAGTAACACAACTTTGTAAAGAGAATAAAAACCAACGGCCTATGTGTTTCTACAAACATACAATGAGAGAAAATCATTCCTGGTTTCCAGTTATTAGTACAGGGTCTCCTGCTGAAGCAGAGGGTTGGACTTGAAAACTTCAAAGGTGTCTTCCAACTCTTTAATTATTCTATGTTCTATGTTTTCAGTTGAAGGCATGCTGGCTTCATCATCCAGATGTCATCTACACACACAGAGAGAGCCCTTTTATTTTTCTTTGCTCCTTTTTTTATTCAATCTGGAACACTTTTAAAAATCAATTATTGACACAACTATACGGGTTTAAAAACAGAAGGGGAAAGTTTTAATGGGGCAAGCAAATGAAAACAATGCTTTGAAAGCTCATCACGTAATGAAGGAATCATCCAGTATTTTGCACAGAAGCCTTGTATCCTTCATCTCAAGAGGCTTCATGAAGTGCTGTTGTGAAAATTTGTGGCAATGTGCCAACGTAAAGTGTTCCTTATTGAATTATTGTTCTACAGAGTTAATCTCCACCTAGTACTGGGATCAAATTTACCCATGAACAATAATGTAATCGTTCCATCTCTCTGGCATAACACAAAAAAGCCTTTTTATATTAAGATCCTCAACTTTGAAGGCTGGTGGATAAATCTGGAATTTTAACAGCTTGCTGCTGGAAAAAAAAACGTTGTAAAGAACGAACTTCCCCATTAGAAAAATAACAACAGCCTTGCTGGATCAGAACTCGGATTCATCTAACTTTCTCTTAGATTGTAATATTCTGCTCATCTAGTACAGGTAGTCCTTGACTTACAAGCACAATTGAGCCCCAAATTTCCGTTGCTAAGGAAGACAGTTAAGTTAGTTTTGCCCCATTTTACGACCTTTATTTGACACAATTGTTAAGTGAATCGCTGAATTTGTTAAGATAATAACACAGTTATTAAGTGAATCTAGTTTTCCTGTTGTCTTTGCTTGTCAGAAGGTCCCAAAAGGTGATTTCATGACTCTGGGACACTGCAACCGTCATAAATGCATGCCATTTGTCAAGAGGCTGAATTTTGATCACATGACCATGGGGAAGCTGCAATGATCATCAATGTGAAAAACAGTCATAAGTCACTTTTTTTTTAGTATCATCGTAACTTCAAACAATCACTAAATGAATGGTTGTAAGTGGAGAATTTCCTGTATTCTATGCCTCACAGTGGCCAACAGGAAGTATTTGGAAAACTCCCAAGCCCAGACTGTGTAGAATAATAGTTCACTTCCCATCAACTAGCATTGGTAATATTAATTTAGGAGTAGAAAACAGCCATCAATATCAGTTCTCATTGACAACTTCATTAGTTCAGTCTGCTTTTATGAAATATTGTTTGTTTATGAATTAAACCGGCTTCAGGAAGTTTCATAGTTTAATTACGTGCTTTATCAAAAGCATTTTCTTCTCTCAACCTAGGCATTTAATTCCAATAAATATCACCTCAATTAATATAATAAGAGGAGGAGAAAGCCTTTTGTTATATTATCCCTGCAATTTAGTTATACACCTCTACTCAGTTCTCCCCTTCCTTGTTCTGCACTAAAAAGGCCCAATTTTTATCTGATAAAGGAGATACTTGACCCTATAATCCCTTTGGTGGCCTTTCCATGCCATTTTATAATTTTCTTTTTCAGGTGTGGTGTTCAAAAGCTGTATGCAATCCCCCAAGCGAAGTCTCACCTGAGACATGTTTTAGGTATTTCAACATCAGCAGTTTTATTTTCAATCCTCCTCCTAACTATACCCAGCGAGGTTTTTGCTTTGTTTACAACCACTGCCAGTGGGTTGACATATTCATCAAATTGTTCACTATGATTCCAAGATTCCATTCCTAATCAATCAATCACTGCCAAGACAGTAACAGTGGTGAATTTTTCTGGGCCAGCATGCATTATTTTGCTTGTTTGCACAGAATAGTTTTTGCCATTCTGAGGCTGCCCAGGTTGGAGAGATCCTTTGGGAACTCTTCATAATCTTTTTTTGTTTTCACCATCCTGAACAGCAAACATAGGTACTGTATTTTTCGGACTATAAGACACACGGGAGTATAAGACGCACCAATATTTCGAAGAGGAAAACAAGAAAAACATAGTTTTGGGCCTCTGCACATCCCGTTTTTGCCCTCCCTGGCCCCCAGGAGCACTCTGCAGGCCTCCCAAACCCTCTGCACATCCCATTTTTGTGAAAAACTGGCCTGTTTTTAGCGAAAATGGGACATGCGGGGTGGGTTTCGGGAGAACAAAAATGGCTGTACTCAGTGTATAAGACGCACCAACATTTCCACCCTCTTTCAAGGGGGAAAAAAAGTGTGTCTTATACTCCGAAAAGTATGGTATGTCATTACTCAGCCCTAACCCTAAGGCCCAGAAGCTAGATCTGGCCCACGGGGTGCTTAGATCGGGCCCGCGGGGCCATCCTAGAAACATCAAAGCTTGCTGAGCTCCATTTTCACTGGCAGAAGATGACAGGAGGCTGTCGCAGCTGAAAATGGAGCTCTGGAGCCTGTTTTTGCTGGCAGAGCGCTTGGGCCACCATAGACGTCCCCAATACAAGTGACATCAAGCTGGCCATGGCCACCCTAGCCACGGCCACCCTGGCCCCCGAGGTCAAACACAACCCTGATGCGGCCCTTAATAAAATTGAGTGTGATACCTCTGCCATAAATCATCTGTGTACACATTGAAGCATTAGTTTCACACATGATCCCTGGTGGGCACAACCTTGCACATCCTGTCAATGGGAGGATTTTCATTTATTCCTACTCTACTTATTTTAATCGTTGCCAGTCCATAAAAGTGCTCGTCCTCTTATGGCACAACTGACTTTGTTGAAGTCAGAACTGAAAAAGAGCTTTTTTCAAATCCAAATATAGAATATCTATTAGATCAGACAGGTCTATACACAATAACCTAAAAACCCTAACTGACTAACTACTAGCCAACCAACCAACCAACCAACCAACCAACCAACCCTATCTATCTATCTATCTATCTATCTATCTATCTATCTATCTATCTATCTCTTTTTTTTGCATCTGAAGACACATTATTTTTTACAAAGTTCATTCTTCGAATACAGAAATATCCCTCTTAATAATTCTTTTAACCTTTGCCCTGGAAATATGTTAAATTAACTGAAATGATTTTCAATCTATTTTGAAAAAAGTAGGTTTATATTTTATTAGAAACAAACTAACCATATACAAACTAACTAATAAAATACTGTGGCATTTTTTTTTCTAAGAAAGAAAAGAGAAAAAGAAATTAAAGAGAAAGCTAAAAGTGCAAGGAAAGAAGTAAAAGAAAAATTGGAAAGAAAGAAAAAAGATACAAAGAAGTGAGTTCCAATATTCTTCACAGCAGCTATAAGTGAAAACATATTTTAGTTCCTTTCTCTAAGGTTGTATCAAGATTCCCTTCTTTCTGCAATTTATCCTGCCTAATCATCAAAGCCATAAATCACAAGTTCATTTTTTCATTTCTATGCCTACAGGGAAAAACTAGGGTTATATTGTGTTTGTTCTTCAGATTTTGAAAATAGCCAGTGTTAAAGTACTTATTTTTTTGTGAAAAGATCAGCAATTTTGTATTTAACTTCTTTAAGAGCTGCTATTTAGTTTGTCAGTTTGACTCCTCACTTCAGTTCTTCTTACCTCAGTTAATAAAATGGCTGCTATAGTTCGGTGCGGCTTGTTATAAAATAACCATTTTCCAAAAGGCAAACTGCTGAGATTGTTCTCGCCAAGCCCTCCCATCCCTGCAGGATGTTTTCTAGCATCTCTGGTGACTTTTCATTTTCCCTCCCCCAGTGGAAAAGTGCTCCTTTATGTAAATCTCTGCACTTTAACTCACACGTCATTTTTACTTTCTAAGAATGCTTTATGAGGTCCTAAAACATTGCTGGACCTTTCAGGCATGCCAATTTCCAATAAGTTAAAAGATTTGTTTTTTCAAGAACAGGTAAAACCTGCAAGAAAAATATCTCTGGAATTCAGTATTATTGAGTTCAATATTATTGAGTTTGTGTTACATTCTAAACCATCAAGTTCATTCCCTCTCTTCCCATAGATTCTTTGAATGATACATCATCATTATTATTATTACTATTGATTTAATTTTCAATTCGATTCACAGTATGGGACTGGTAAAAACTTAACAGTTCAAGTCCTAACCAAGGACCTAGGAGCTGTTAAGGTAACTTCTGAGTATATCAGGTCTAATAAATTCAAAATTTCCATGTATCTAAGCAGCTCTTTGGGTATTGCTCCAAAGGCTCCTATTACTATTGGTACAACCATTGATTTCTTCCTCTGTAGTTGCTCAACTTCAATTTGCAAATCACAGTATTTTTTTATTTTTTCTAGCTGTTTCTATTCAATTTGTGCTTCTTCTTCTTCTTCTCTTCTTCTTCTTCTTCTTTCTCTTATTATTATTATTATTATTATTATTATTATTATATTATTATTTATTTATTTATTCATTAAAGTTCAAACTCAGTCAACTGAACAATCAAAAATGCATCACAAATACCATTGACTGGTGCTAATGGTTGATACGAGTTGCTGCCAGTGTCCTAGGTATCACCAAGTACCTTCTTAAGATGTATGATGTTCTGAGTAATGCAGTTTTTTGCATCATCATCATCGTTGTTGTTGTTGTTGTTGTTATATTATTATTATTATTATTATTATTATTATTATTATTATTATTATTATTATTATTATTATTAAAGTAAGAGTACTTCAGAAGCATGAGAAGCCACACCTGTGCCTAAGTAGACATTTCAACAATTCTCACTCCAATGAACTTCATGGGGCATTTTACAATAATAAGAGAGCAGAAAGCTGAGATTTTAAAAAGCCAAAATCCCAGAAAGAAAGGGGAAACAGTCCACCATGAAGCAAACCAATATAGATGTTACTAAAAGATGTTGTCTGAAATGCTAATGGGGGGTAGGGAGATCCTCTGTCCCAGATATAGAGAACATGGTTTATAAATAAAGGCCTTATATTATGACTAACTATATCATGTATCTAATTGGGCCTTACTGGGACTCAGAATGACCTTCCCCCACACAGATTTCCTTGTTGGTTTTATTATGTGCTTCACTTTTCTTGGCATTAATAACCCACAGTTAGAATGTCAAACCAGGAAGGAGAGAGAAATGCACACATGCACACACAGACACAGCCATTCGGCATGCTGGATTAGTCATTCTCTCAACTTAGTCTACTTCAGTGTTGCCATATAAAACTGAAAGGGGGAATACATGCCATTTAAAGTCCGTAGAGGACAGGCCTTTTACAAATGCAATAAAAGATCAAATATAATCCTCATATGGCTTTCTGCATTTTGGTGCCCACTTGTCACACTGTGTCCAAGACTGGGTTGAGGAATAATTGAGGTAGTCAAAGTCAAAAAAAGCCTCTGGCCTTTGCTTAGTGTACTCTTAATTCTCTAAGGCATTCGCTAAAATTCTCATAAGAAATCTGAACCATCTCTTTAAGAAGAAAGCACATGAAGTGGATGTTAATCAAACATGCCATTTCTTCCATGCGGAAGCAGGCAAAATGTTGCAATTTATAGTGCCCTTTCCCCTATAAATAGATAACTCTACACACATCTGGATTCTCAAGTTAAGGGGCACAATTCTAAAATGCCAACAGTTATGAGAACAGCTTGTTGAGGGTTGTATAACATTCCACATTCCACTTATAAAGGACACGTCTTTTCACTTCAGTTACAACAACATGGACACAGAAGAAAGCCAAGTTGAAAGTACAATGAAAAGTACCTTGAATAACAAAGCAAGTTGGTAGTCCTTTGAGGTCATGGAGGAAGAAACGGGAAGGAAGGCAGTGAAACAAAAGAGAGGAAGATTTTATTGGACAGAACTAATACTCCAATCATGGTTATAAAAGTGTTCTGTGGGCACTACTATTAAGCAAGGATGGAAGGGAAAACTTCCACTCTCTTGGGAAAAAACTTAAAAATAGCAAATTAGCCAGATATTTCTTGGAAGCAAATGAGCTGAAACCAATGGATCCGTTCTCCTTATCAATAAAGTAAAATGTTAGACATAAAACAATACAGAGAGAAAGCTTTTAAGATGACAATTAGTCATTGCTATTGACCAGTGCTATTATTATCAATTCTTTATCCCCATTTTCAGCATTTCATCCTTGTAACCTTTCCTGTACAAGACTTTTCTTGCCCCACTTCTGCTACTTAAGGCTGCTGGCTGCAAATGCAAAGACAGTCACTGGAAAGGCAAGGAGCACTAGTGCACCCTTGTTATAAATCAGACTGAAAACATCCTTAAAGGTAAAGGTTCCCCCGCACATTCATGCTAGTTGTTTCTGGCTCTAGGGGAGGTGCTTCTAAGCTGTAGAGCCAGTGCTGTCCAAAGACGTCTCCTTGGTCATGTGGTCAGCATGACTAAACGCCAAAGGCGCCTAGAGTGCTGTTACCTTCCCACCAAAGTGATCCCTATTTTTCTACTTGCATTTTTTAGGTGCTTTCAAACTGCTAGGTTGGCAGAAGCTGGGACAAGTAACGGGAGCTCACTCTGTTATGCGGTTCTAGGGATTCGAACCGCTGAACTGCCGACCTTCTGATTGACAAGCTCAGCGTCTTAGCCACTGAGCCACAGCATCCCTTTTGATTCCCCACCTTTGTTATATTTATAAATAACACAAGGCAGCCAACACACCTAATCCTCCTTCCTCCTCCTATTTTTTCCTACAACAACTACTCTGTAAGGTTGATTGAGCTGAGAAAGAGAGTGACTGGCCCAAAGTCACACAGCTGATTTCTGCTGGATATCACAAGGAGTGCAACCAACGAAATACCTGACCGCATCTACATTCTCCCTGTAGAATCAGGCAGCCATTGGGGAACAGCAGCAAAGAAAGCTACTATTCACATGTCCCTTTTAGTAGAGTGTCCAGAAGGAAGAAGAGTGCTAGAGAAGACTTCAAATTATAGTTTATTTTTATGAACAAGCTTTAATAAACCTACTCAGCCATGTCAAGAAGTAGGAAAGATAGTCACCCTTCCTCAAGCTCCGTAGCTGTAGAGGTGGATAGGGATTATCCCAACAATGGCACAGGAATTCCTACATTTTTCCTATAAGCTTCAAATGGCCAATAAATGTTTCAAACTACACAAGGCCACAGGGGTAAAACTCATCCCACTTTTTCTGGATGCCTCGGCTTCCAAACACAAATTATTTGCTAAGGGTTGCATTTATTTAATGGACCTGTTTGCAAAGCCAGCTTTTGGATACCCACTACTGTCTGAGAGTAAGGAGGTGTTTGAAAGCAAATATGAAAAGTAAAAACTATTTTTGCTGGTCTATCTAGCAACATCAAAGCTGCTTGCAACTCTGATTTTGGTACATTCTTAATGAAATATGTATTTCATTATATATATGAAGTATATTCATAAAGTGATTTCTGCAGGCATATCATTATTTCTCACAGTGCAAAGCTGAACTCTTCAATCACATATCTTATTTGGAAAGCTATTTATATACTGGAACAATGATCACTTCAGGAGGCTGTGAAGTAGATATTAGCACACAGCTAATAATTTTTTACTCCAAAATATTACACAGTTCTTACCTTCCAGAATAGAATACTGCAGTGACGACAAAATTGCAAGGTGTCTCCATATTGTTCCTTTATGGGATAACATTTCTGAAGTGCAAAATACATCAGCTTCCAGTCAATATGACCTTTTTCTGACAAAATAAGATGCCTACAAAACTGAATATAAAAAGTGACATTTGAAGGCAATCATGTTTCATCCAGCAGTCAAGTCAGATAACAATAATGGAACAGAACCTGTACACATCAAAAGAAATGTTTTAGAAAATAATTTGTGAAATACGTTAGGGGGTTACTGACTCACTAAGGGTTTTTTTGGTCCCTGTCCATCAAATAATTGTTAGGTTATGGCATGGCAAGCAATGCTAGGCAAATGTTTTCAATTATTATAGCCTCTTATTAAAGGTAAGCAAAACGTGGGTCTAGAGCAGTGTTTTTCAAACTTGGTAATTTTAAGAGGTGTGAACTTCAACCCCAAGCATTCTCCAGCCAGAATGAGTACATGTTCTTTACCATTGAATTTATACTTAAATGGAAATAAATTCTGCTGAAACCAGAGATTTCTTTCTGACCCACTATGTTTACTATGTACATAAGAGAGCAAAAGAGTGCTGCTAATGATTGTTCATGCTTCCTTCTGGAACTGCAAGCAAGTTGGTTTCCTTTTTCTTTCTCCTTTTTTTTCCTGATTCTTTACATAGAAGCAAAGTTTCAAAACCTCACTAAACAAAAGTATATGCACAACAAAACTTTTTCTTACTTGTTTTTCAGCAAAATGGTATTGACACAGCTTTTTCCATAATTGCCTATCTTCACTGAGCATATATAATGTTGGAGTCACTTGTCCTAAAGTAATGATATCCCATCCATCTGAAAATCTATGTAAAATGTTGTTCAGCATATGTAAAGGAAGATCGCTAAGTGTAAGTCCATTGTTGATGTGCTGAAAATCAAAATCGTTACAGTTGTCTGTTAATTTAAACACCAAGCGTAAACAGGATTTAGAAATTCAAACATTTATATCAAAAGCAAAGCTTAATAAATAAGCATGATATTCTAAAGTCAAAACTAAATGTTCCAATAATTCTGAAAATTAGAAGTAGGCTAACTATATATATTGCTATACATGTCCAGGTGCTCAAAATATTATTAAGTTATTAGAAAAAAATAAGATTTGTTTAAAACAAAAATTCAATGCTAAAACATTGCCTATTTCTTCATGTTTTAGCTAGATTGCCATTTCTGAGTCTTCACAGATCATCTATTTTAGATTAAGATTTTTTATTTATTTCATGCTTTCTTGTCCTAAAGAGCAAAGGGAGTTAATCCTTAATGAGATTCTCACAGAAAAGATGCCCCTCTTTGTCTCCTAGTATTTCCAAATGATTTTTCCAGTTTTATATAACAAAGGCATAAAAGCTGGATGTACCTTGGTCATCTGAAGATTACTGAGCTGCTGCTGCCACAGAAGGATAGTTTCCAATCGGCAAATCCAAATATTGATGTTTCCTACCAGCACCGATTTCCCTACACTCCTGATTAACATGCAGAGGGTGGAACTCAGGTCCTGAAGAAGATCTTTTATCAGGCGTGGGTTATACTGGTCTTCCAAAACTTGGAATGGGAATTGAAAGATATATACAGGTGGATGAGTAATCCTGCTTTTAAATATAGTGTACAGACTTTTCATTCTCTTAGCTAAAACAGAACCTGCCCCATAACATGCTTCAAATGAACAGGTAATTTGATCCAGCTATGTAATCCTTAGCTAGCATTAATCAGAATGAACTCTACAAATAACATAAATAACCCTACTGGTAGGCACAGAATGGGACAACTTGCTACAACCAACGTATTGTGGCCAACTCACCACGGCCAACTCAACAGTGGACAACTTGCCATGGCCAACTTGCCATGGGACAAGTCACTGCAGGACAATTTAACAATTCTATTTAATTATTTAAAATATATAAAAAACATTTTAATTTTTGCCATTCACATTTCATTTCTGAAATGTGAGACATTCTGCCCCTCCTTTTGCATCCTTTTTAAAAATGATTCTATTCCACCATTTCTTTGACCAACTCTTGTCCTGCAATGAGTTGTTCTGTGGCAAAATGGCCATGGGGAGTTGGCCCCACAGTGAATTCTCATAGACCCCGGTAGGCAATCTTTTTGGGGTGAGTGAACAAACCTGAAATTCTGAGAATATGATGCAGCTTTACCTTTTTGAACAATTTTATCCAAAATGTTGAAGTAGTTCTTTTGAGCAGCACCACTCAAGGATGTCAACTGGGATTTGGCTATTAACTGCAGAAGCTAAAAGAAAACAGCCACCCTTAAACAGTAGGTAAAGTCAAATGGCACATATTAATCACAAGAAGCTACAGCAGGGGTAATCAAGTGGAGTGCAAGTGAACGACTCTTCTGATGCCATCAAAAGTAACCGGCCTTTGAATCTGGGGCTTGCTCTTCTCTGCATGTGTGCAAATTCCCTTTTGAGAGTCACAGCAGGAGCGCAAGTCACTTGTACCTCCACCTGTCTACAACCACTCTTAACATCAGGAGTTACTTTAAGAGTGACACACAATTCACCTCCAATTTTAATCCTGTCAACTTCAAACCAAAGGCACTTCCTGAGCGATATAGTTTTGTCACATAAAATGCCGAATTAAAAGGTAGTTTTCGAGTTCCTGCATAGCAGATGGGGGGGGGGGATGAACTCCTGCAAAGCCGTTCTCTTGAAAATATTTTTGAAGTCCAGAAAATGTTTTTGCTCTACTTCATCAAACATCTATGAGGGAGATGCAAATATTATTACTATGCTTGAGCCATTTTAAGTACATTCCAACCACAGGACTTCCCGCTGATTTCAATAGGAGGATTAAGAAAATCAACAAAAGTCACCCAGAAAGGAGGCATGCTCGGATGCTCAATATGCCTGAGTATTTAATTTAAAGATACTTAAGTGAATGTCAAAATAATCCTAAACATGTTTAATCAAGTAAATATATTGAATGAATCCAACTCTATGGATCAGCTAAAGCACAAAGCAGTAACGTTAGACAATGTGCTGATTAATGCTGTTGGCCAAGGGGTTCTCTAGGTGTGAGAAACTTCTGAGAGTAAAGAAGTTTCTTTGTAACTACTCCGATAATATCATCATCAATTGAGTTGGGATGTAAGTAGGTAGGTAGTGAAAGCAATGCAAATTTAGAGCCAGGCCATCCGAATATATTACACTAATCAACATGCAGATAGCTAGTTAAAACTTGTTCTGAACCACCTCAAGGTCAACAGCATAAGGCACATTCATTAACTATAAGAATTAATTCAATCATGGAACTACACAGGCCAAAAACATCTTACTTTAACTACGTAATTGAACCTCCGGATGTCCTGAATTGCACTTGAAAAATCCAAACGATTGAATGCTTCTCCCAAAGTGCAATAGCCATGCCTCTTGAAACAAAAAAGAAAGTAAACAGATGTTAGATTTGCAGAAGGACATGTACTAAAAAGAGAAGATGAAACAGGAATAAGAAGTACACAAGCTATACAAAGAGTGATTCACGCAGCAGCTGATGCTCCAGTTTCCAAGCTGTCTAATTTCTCAACATCATCACCAAAGGAGTACAAAGGAGGGAAGGCAAGAGGAAGTTTCTACATAAACCTAACAGGGCTCATTCTGCTTCTACATTCATCTGTGGCAAGTCTTCAATGCCTAGAATGCTTTCTTTTATCTCTCAAAAGGGAAGACACACATGTAATGTTGTACTTTAGACCAATTAAGATAACAAACGTAGCAGTGGTGAAATCCTACCGGTTCGCACCGGTTCGGGTGAACCGGTAGTGACAAAAGTTACTGGTTCGGTGAACAGGTAGTAAAAAAAAAGCTACCGGTTGGTCACAACCGGTATTTCCGACAATCAGCTGTGCCGCGCGATTTAAAATCATTGAATTGAATCTAATTTTAAAATCATTAAAATTGAATCTAAATCATGCGGCACAGCTGTTCCCCCCCTCGCTGTTCTACTTACCTTGCCAAGCCTCCTTTTTCTGTGTGCAGCGCACGTTTGGCGCATACTACACATGCGCACAGTGTGCATTTGGCATGCATTGTGAATGTGCATGTGCACAGCGTGCATTTGGTGCACACTGTGCATGCACAGGCAGCGAACCAGTGGCAAACCGGAGAAGATTTCACCACTGAAATATAGGTATGGGAAGAAAAAAGAAAAAAATGATTGATACTGTGGCTCCTCATTTGATGTTTTTTTTTACAGATAATACAAATAAATCGATCGACATATTTTGATAAATCTGTTCCTATCCTGAAAAAGAGTTAACATACAGTATACCCCTTTCTGCAGTGGCAAGAATAGATTCCTTAAATGAGGGACTACCAGGACCTTTTGGAAACAGTCACTGTACAGAAACACTTACTTCACGGGTACTTTCTTTATGAACATATATCCAGTTTTCACGATAAAAACCTGAAAACAGAACCAAGCACAAACTCATTGAATAACTTCAAGTTTGGATTGATAACATTCGCCCTTGCCCACATTTGTTTTCTATGGCACTCATAGAATTCCCTGGCTGAATTTAAAATGACTCCCACCAAAGCATTAGCTAGCAGGACAGTAGCTATTTCAAGTAGGTTTCTGGTGTTGGTCAAAATGTGGTGCTAATGTAAATACCAGTTAAGATTTAATATTGATCAATCAAGGAATGTCACAATAGGTTTTGTCTTAAGGCTGTTCTGTTAATGACTCCATTGAATCCATATATCTGACCGTGCGTTTGCTGTCTTGTCAAGTAGATTATTCAAGAATTATTCAATAAAGATGATCAGACGTATGTATGGGACAGCTCTTCAACAGACTGCCCTCATTCAAATCTAGAGAAAGGGATCGAACATTCTCTTTGGACCAAAAAAAATTTCAGTGTTTAGATGGTGTCCTCACCAATATTACAGATTTCCAGTTATTTCACAGGCTACCAAATCTAAGAGTTTGGGGGGTGAGGGGGAGGATGGAACAAAGAGGACAATATTTACAGTTTTGGCTTAGGGGATGAAATTTCAATCAGTGGAGCAGAGAAGGTAATATTGACTCAATGCACATCATATCAAACGGGAAGGAGGAGGTGTTAAGGTGAGCTATTTTCCTTTCTGTTTAGTTGAATACCCTCACTAGCTTTTTACTTTAAAAAAAAAAAACTAGATTGTTGTAGACTTTGGGAAAGAATGTGATTCAACAAAATGACCAGCAAAACCGCCTCTCACTAATAACAACAGAAATGTAATTAACATACCAGTTCTTCTCACATCTCTTCACTTCCTTCTAGTTAATCATCATGTTACACTGAAGTGAGATTCTGTACAATTTAAAAGCTTTTGCAACCACCTTTAAAAATAGGGAAGGCCTGCCTTCTCTGGGCCAATTCAGACTCCCCCTTTTAAAGTGGAATCAGTCCAGCCAACACTTCAGATTTATATTCTAACTAGAAGCCAGTATATGACTTCCTGGACTGATCTGGATTGCTATAATTTTACATGAATTTTGCTAAGACCTACGGTTGCAAATAAATGTTTCATTGTAAAAATGCCAATGTCCTGAAATCATCAAGAGGTGAATTTCACTGGGAAACACACTTTCAACATCACAGTTTGGTATTTAGCCACATCTACTCATTTGCTTTTGATTCTGCCTCAGAAAATTTCAAGCTTTCAACTAGGGCTGTGGATGCTTCAAAATACTTCAGCCAGAGCACAAGTAGAGGCCTTCACAGTTATTCAGGCCTGATTTTTTCCAGGCTTCTGTGCATTAACATTACCATGTTGAACTCTTTAAAGAGCATAGCACTTTCTTTTCAGACCCAGGAGAGTAGGTAGCCTGAAAGAATCAGCCTATTTTAATACAAGGCGGGTGGGTTATGTTGGCATTTGGACTGAGGTGCTTCTCCTGAATCTTTTTCATAGCATGACCAACCCTATTAGGAACCTCCGAAATGGAAAATTCTTAAATCATAAATTTAAATATATACATGAACAATTGTTTTAATAAAAGTTTAATAAAAGAGCATTGAAAAGTTGTTTTAATCTTACCCTATAAAGCAGGGCTGTCAAACTCCCGGCCCACGGCCCAGATGAGTCCCGCGCTGGCCACACCCACGCCCGGTTTAGCGAAGGTGGAAAAAGTCCTGATATGTCATGTGACGCTGCCGTGACAACATGAGTTTGACACCCCTGCTGTAGAGCGTAATAGCCTTGAAGAGCAACTGTGTGAGTCAAATAAACCCCTTTCTTTTTTTCTTTTTTTTTAAATATGGTGCAAACCCTAACCATATAAAACTTTTTATGCACGTACACACATACAGAGCAACCCTTACCTAGTTTTTGCTTCTCAAGTACACAAGTCTTTTGTGGGCATACTTATAACAGCTCTGCTGAGGCACAAAAGCTATTGTCAAATTGCATAATTGCAAAAATTCTTGCTTACACTGAGATTTTGCCGTGTTCCTAAAGTGATCCTTTTTCCTTTTCTTGCTTGCAAATTCACATTCGGTGCTGCATATTTCTTCATCGCTGTTCAAGAGGCTGAAAACAAACCACAGAGGTAATGCATGAAATGTGTTTTACATAGGAAAGAGCCACACCGGCTGTGTTCAAGCAATATTTAAACAAGCACCAGGGTGAAGAACTTGGATGAAATCACTCGCAAACACAAGAAAAGAGCTCTCTTCTATTTACAAAAACATTCCTGGCCTCCAGGTATAGATGTGTGGAGACACGTTTCACACAGAGAATGGCTCAGATTCTGTTCTTCCACCTCGACTTAAAAGATGTCACATGACAATGTTTAGACAGGCAAATCTTGCTAATTGGAGCATATGGATATATGAATTATTATTGGTATAAAGTAGTAATTCACGTCATTCCTTACAGGCAAAGTAGTTAAGTTAACTATAGTCAGACCCCACAGAGAAAAAGACCGTTCCAATAAAAATTACACCCAAGGATCATACAATATTTTATATTTGTTTTAAATCCAGTATTTTGTGCTATTTTAAACTTCCTTTAAATGTGAAATTTAAATTTTTAATGTAAAAGTACCAAGTGATCGATCTATGTGAATTCTATAATTACACTTTCAATTTTCATAAAGAAAATTTTTTAAAAAGTAGGTTGGTAAAAAGATACAGCAAACTTTATTTTCCCAGAACCCAATCCAATATGGTTTGCTTTGCTCACTTCCCAAATACTGGAATTATAAACATGAACAATGCAACGTGAAAAATAAAGGTGTTACTTGGCTATTTTTATTCTTTGATGGGAAAATTGCGTACAGGAATTTTCTCCATTCACTGAGCTCAGTATCAAATGAAAAGTATTTATCACTGTCAATTCAGATTTAAGAAACTCATACAGTATATACGGAACACAATAAGCATCAAAGAGAAAAAGAATAGAGGATGCAGGAAAAAAACCTTCCACCCACTTCTCTAGGGATAAAACAGTAACTATTAAAGCAAAGAGCGCATCACAAATTCAACATTGCAATGCATCAGAGTTTTTGAAAAGAAAAAAAAATCTCTCTGGATTTTTTTTTTAATACAAATACCGCCAGCCATCTGTGGCATAGCAATTACCTGCTCTATATAAATCTAAATCTAAATCAGAAGTAGATTCTTCCAATAGCAAATTTTAATGAAAAATATCTCAATAGGAAAATAGATTCAGCCCAAGCGCTATGAAGCACAAGGACGAAGACCTTGGATTTATTTCAAAGAAAGAAATGAAACCTGACATTGCTAACTTGCACTCAGCTGGGACTTTAAGTTCACTTCCATTTACACAAAGAAAAATCTGCCAAAATACTACAGTAAACAGCAGAACGTATTAGCCAGAAGAAAGAATAATTCAGTTATGAAAGAGGTTTCTCTACTACCAAAGAACCAAAGTACTTGATTTAAATGAAATAAGAGAAAACATCAGGAATACCCCATTCAATCCCAATCTATGTCTTGCTGCATGCCCACAAAGAAATAAATTTGGAGGGACAGGAAGGTCATGGCCCTCCAAAAGCTGTTTGAACAAAGTACCTGTTACTTTTGTCTGCAGTCATGCTTGCTGGGCACGATGGAACTGGAATTCTAGCACATTGGTTCTTGAGAATATGATGTCATAAGAGCCATGATGGTGCAGTGGTTAGAATGCAGTATTGCAGGCTAATTCTGCCGACTGCCACCGGTTCAATTCTCACTGGCTCAATCTTGACTCAGCCTTCTATCCTTCTGAGGTTGGTAAAATGCAGATGCAGCAGTGGTGGATTTCTACCGGTTTGCCACAGTTCAGGCGAACCGGTAGTGGTGGCAGCAGGAGGCTCCATTCACCTGCCCGGACGTCATCATGGACGCTCTGCGCATATACAGAAGTACCATGCATAAGCAACGTGAGCGCACATGCGCGCTCACTCCCGGTTCCAAACCGGTAACAACGGTAAGTGGAACCCACTACTGAGATGCAGATATAGTTGGGGGGCAATATGCTGACTCTGTAAACCGCTTAGGGAATGAAGCAGTATACAAGTCAAAGTGCTATTGCTATCTTCACTTATCAGAAAATTCCATTATTATACCATGAATTGGGCTAATGAAGCACTGAACACTGGTGCTATATTTCTTGCTTTCCTTCTCATCTACAAAACTGTGGGCCTCTTGAAAATGACTCTGCCTTTTCCTCCCAGGATTGAAGAGGTGGAAGGAGGGGTGCTGGGACAGTTGATGAGTTAGGGTCAGAAAAGTCATGCTCACTTGACATCTGGTCCCCGCCTTGCTTTGTCCACCTTCCTTGAACCAATTGCAGTATGCTCGGTTTAGACAACACATAAAGCATAAACCAATCACCTCACTAAAGGAATACAATGGCTCAGTGGCTAAGACACTGAGCTTGTCAATCAGAAAGGTCAGCAGTTCAGTGGTTCGAATCCCTAGCACCGCATAATGGAGTGAGCTCCCGTTACTTCTCCCAGCTTCTGACAACCTAGCACTTTGAAAGCACGTAAAAATGCAAGTAGAAAAATAGGGACCACCTTTGGTGGGAAGGTAACAGAGTTCCATGCGCCTTTGGCATTTAGACATGCCAGCCACATGACCACGGATGTGTCTTCGGACAGCGCTGGCTCTTCGGCTTTGAAACGGAGATGAGGCCTGTCCCTTAGAGTCGGGAACGACTAGCACATATGTGCGAGGGGAACCTTTACCTTTAATCACCTCACAGTTTCAAGCACATTGTGTGAATCTACAAAGTGAGAAATTCAGATGTGGGGAGAAAGGAATGGTAGAAGGATTAGCACTTTGAGGCTTTCAGACTGGGTTCCTGGTTCTTAGCATCTCCTTAGTGTTGAGTGAGCCAGTGGAGGAAAAACCTGTGCTCCTGGACATTTTTGGAGTAAATGTGCATAAACTTGAAACAAGTGAAAGCAGTATATAATTCTTGAATGATCCTTCAAAAGCTAAACGGCATCAGGATTGGTTAAATCGAAATGAATACCCTACAAAAGTACAGAACTTAATTACTGCTTGCTCTGTTTTTTGCTTAATACCATTTTTGCCCAGGGTTTTGGACTTGATATTCAGCTTCAGATGGCCTCTTAAGAGGCTGTGCTTGTTTTATTTGCTGTAAGGCTGAAATAAAAGGATTTGGGTTTAACCGAGAGCGAGAAATCGCAAAACCCAACCAAAGATATACTGTAAAAGTGCTAACGGATTGAATACCAACTTTCTGTTATTGTATTTTCTTTTTGGCCCCAATTACTAACAAGACAATAATTACGATATGAGGGATGCCATATTTTTGATCTAACAAGAGATCATTATGCTGCAAAAGCTGTAGAACCATTACTTTAGAAAAAAATTTATTTGCTATTCTGTGCACAACATATTTAACCTCTAGTTAAAATAGTTATTAATCAAAGATGCATATGCACTTATCAGCAACTTGATTTCAGGATGAAAATCTACTACTCCTAAAAAAAAAAAAATGCACCTTTGGAACAACCATGACCCGGATGACTTGAGAATCTTCATAGACATTTACTGTTCCTTAACACTTAAAGCAGGGGTGTTAAACTGGTGGCCCATGGGCTGGATACATCATGCGCTGGCCACTCCCACCCCAGCTCCACGAATGGGAAAAACGTCACAAAATATCACGTGACGGCAACGTGACATCGCGAGTTTGACACCTGTGACTTAAAGGAAGCAGGTGTACAATCATATTCTTATATATCTTAGCAGTTTTGTTTAAAACACAGCTATTAAAAGTATAGCCTTGTTATGTTTGTTCCCAGGTGAAAGCAAATTTACAGACATGCTGCAGTAGGAACAAAGTTAATACACAAGCAAACTATGTGGAAAGTGGTTGGGTGAACTCATGAAATGAAATAGCCCAGTGCCGCCCAGAATAAATAGTTTAGGAAGACTCAAAACATTTGCTGCAATTAGCTGGAATTCATCAGCTGCAAATGGCTAGTGTTGTGACTATTACTCATAGGCAAACTATGTGATCCAGCTGTGAAGAACAAAGACAAATTTTTGATATAATAGGCATGGAGTTTATCCCAAAATACAGGATTTGGAAAGTTAAGAGGCGCCCTACCTTGTACAAATCTGGAGCCTATCAGGCTAAACAAAATGCTTTAAATCTGCTTCAGGTCATATTTGAAGCAGCATTTTTAGCGTAATATGTTGAGAAATTAACATTATTTTGCCTATACGTAAAAGCTCACTGTTAAGCAATCCAAGCAGAAACACTGTAACACTATATTGTTTGAACTTGTGTTTTAAAACAAGTCAGATATTAAATCATGAATCCAAGGAACCAAGATTTCTTAATTTGTTCAAGTAAACAAATGAACTGAATGCACATGCTGGTAAAATAGTAAGTTGAATTATAAATTTTGAGACTTTCATACTATACCAGGGGTGCTTAAACCCGGCCCGCAGAGCCGGCCTAGAACATGCTGCCTGTGGTGCCTCTGCCGGCGAAAAACGGACCATGTGGAGGCCTCCCAAGGCCTCCATGCAGTCCGTTTTTGGCCGGCAGAGTGCTGTTGGAGGCCAGGGAGGCCAAAAACGGGCCATGTGGTCCATTATTGGTTGGCAAAGTGCTCCTGGAGGCCAGGGAGGCCAAAAACGGAGGCCATGGAGGATGAAAATGAGGTGCAGCCCATGCAGGCATCCGTCCCATCTCTCCCCCGCCCCTCCCCCCCCCCCCCCCCAGCCTGCGGAGAACTACAATGCTGATCCAGCCCTCAAAGAAATCCAGTTTGACACCCTTGTACTATACTGATCTCCAGATTCTTTGATAGGGTTACAAATATCTAGATGATTGCTAGATGGCAGCAAAAGTAGTTTTCCCTAATATTGCTTTGAGATCATTTGAGTCGCTTGTATTTTTGCATTGTAGGTCACTGATTTTTAATTTTATCTTTCATCTAAAAGCAAAGTTCACCATTGCCTTCCTTTTACTATCAGTGATTTTTCAATCAATTATAGCCAATTTAGACATATGTTACAATTCAGCCTTCCCCAACCAGAATCCTTCTGATAGACTGCAACTCTAACCAGTAGCAATTCTGGGAAGGCCAGCATCCTCCAACACAGAGAATGCTCATTGGGAAAAGCTGGCACAATTAAACAAGGCGGAAAAACAGTCCCATGTAAAAAAATATCTTCTTGTTCCATTAGAAAAGGTTGATGACTATATCCAATGACTTCTGCCCTTGTATGAAGAAATATATAAAACCACCGACTCTTCTTTCTTGCAAAAGTACTCTCGTTGCTTTTTTGCAATTTGTATTGGAAAATTAGAGCTTGTGTCTTCAAGCTGCTATTTCTTGAATATCTTTGTGGTGAAAATACCATTCCTCCCCAAGTCTGCAATTTCCCCCTTTTTTTTAGCTCAAACCTAGTTTTAGCAACATGGGTCCAACAGCCCACCTTGTATTTTAAGTACTGAAGTCCCCATGGCAACACTGCATCAGATAATTAGGTTGTTATTTTACAGATGAACACCATGATATTTTAAACAAATACAAGCAGCTTTCAGCTCGCCTTATCTTACCCAAAATGGGTATCTCACCATGAAGGGTACACGGCTTGTGCAATTACTCTCATAATTGATTTAAATGTTTAAAAACAGCAGGAAGATAATAGTTTTTAACATTTACATGATCACAGTTGGTTTACACCCCAATTATGTAAGATTTTAAGCTGTGTGTTTCAAAGCAGCGATAAGATCTTTTGCAATTAATTGTTGTTGGCTGTAAAACATTCTACTGAAACCTGCAAATGTTTTATCCCAGGGCTGTCAAACTTGTGGCCTGTGGGCCAGATGCATCACATGCTGGCCACCCCGAAGGGGGAAAAGTCCCGATACGTCATGTGACGCCATGTGTTTGACACCCCCGTTTTATCCCAAGAAGGGTGGATTTTTCTTAAGTGTCAGCCTGGCTTTACCAACATCATTCAAAACTCATCATCTCCTTTATTTGCATCCATCTTTCTGGGCTTAACAAATATCAGCGTTTGTCCTAGCAGTCCTCTCTTCCTCCCGCCTGGCCTTGAGAAAAGTCTATAAAGCCTATTTCCTGGGTATCTTAGTAGAGGATCATGACATTACATAAAAAAATACACTACACACATAGGCCTGTCATTTAGGCAGGCTCTAGTAACCCAAGAGGGAAGGTGAAGGTAACACAGCAGCAGTAGCAGTGTTTGGTGGGTTAATTCAGGTACTATATCCAAGGAGAATATCACTGTGTCAGGTATCTGAGCAAAGAGCTTCAATGTGCCCTCAACAAGGAACACCCAAATCCTACTCAGCAAAACGCTGTTTCTGCTCAGCAACTGTGCTGTCTCTGCATTATTGGCAATCAGATTGCCTCAATAAAGACTCCAGGCAGGTTCAAAGTAGTCCATTTTTCTAAACCTTTTTACAGAGATGCAGTGCAGTGCAGTGCAGTATGGTTCCAGGACTGAAGCACCCCCCACATAATTGCTTGCTTGCAATTATACTCAGGCCTGGATGTCTTGTGAAAAAAAGCAAAGTCCTTTCCTCCAACAAAATGGCATTTATTCCCACATTAGATGTGGGCTTCATTACATCCACCCATTGAAAGCACATACACACAAATTAAATTCCAGAAGAGCAACATTACAGGTAGTCCTCAACTTACAACAATTCATTTAGTGACCAGTTACAACAGCACTGAAAAAAGTGACTTATCACAGTTACCACCTTTCCAGCATCCCCATGTTCATGTGATCAAAATTTGCATGTTTGGCAACTTATTCATATTTTTGACCATTGCTCTCTCTCAAGATCATGTGATCACCTTTTGCAACCTTCTGACAAAGTCAACGGGGAAGCAAGATTCACTTAACCAGGTTACTAATTCATCAACTGCAGTGATTCACTTAACAACTGATGCAAGAAAGGTCATAAAATGGGGCAGAATTCACTTAACAAATGTCTCATTTAACAGAAAAGTTGGGCTCTATTACAGTTATAAGTTGAGGACTACCTGCATGCAGCTGCAATGTTGAATGACATAAGGAACCATCCACATCTGGATGGAACTGTTGGCTCAAGGTGGCTTCCTCTATGGACTAAATAAGATGGACAATATGACATTTAATATATATAAATATGTATATACAGCAGTTTTATACTATACAATTATTCTAGGATCCAGCTTATGAAGAACCCCATCTTCATTTGTCTACCATGTCTCCCAGAAAACTTACATAGCATGGTCGATGTCATTAAGCGGATTGCCTTCATCCTCAAATTCTGAGCTGCAAGGGTCACTTCGCTTCCAACCATCTTCTGTTTTAATCCATCTCCATCCTGGAGATCGCCAGTCCTGGCCCAGAAAAGGCATGGTTTCCTTGAGGAAACAAGCAATCAAGCTAATTAACCATTTTGCTCTTAGGCATGGGTGAGCTTCAGAACTTCTTGCAAGGAAATTAGTACAAGAGTCAGGGAAGCTGAAAATGTTAATAGTAATCAGCTGATCTTGACAGAACCCATCTCCTTTTGCTTATGGTACTGTTGAACTTTCAACTGCAAGTCAACGGGGTGGCAACTTCAGAATGCTGGGGATACATCATATTTTCCAGCACATGCTCTTGCGAACACAAGGTAAGGATTAATGAAGTGAGGCTGCATTAAGGGGGAAATTACCATTACTGTATTGTGAGCAGGTAGTTTAAAATATGGGGAAATAATATTGTTATGGAATCAAACTTTCATTGTAGATCATGGATATCAAACAAGCCACATAATGTTGCTGTCACATGATATTTTGTGACGGTTTTCCCATTCATGGAGCTGGGGTGGGTGTGGCCTGCGTGTGACGCATCCAGCCCACACGTCGCCAGTTTGACACCCCTGTTGTAGATAACCCTAGTCGCCACCTTCAAGATAAAGGAGATCAAGACACTGAGCATTTTACAGGAACTGGAAAGCAAAGGGCAACTCTCCAAAAACTGACTGTGGAGAAGCAGCAACAAGGAAGTGGGCTTAAGAAAACACCTTGCAAAGGAGAAGGAAGGGAGAAAAAGAAAGGACAATGACGTAAGAATATTTCAGCAGTGTTGCATTTGGGTAGCTAGAATTTGGGCAGTGCAATTCTAAATTGCATTAACAGAAAGATAATGCAATTGTAACAGAAGGATACAATCAAGATCATGTGAGGTACTAATACCTCACTAATACAATACCATAAAGCCTTAAGTAAGACCACACCTAGAATACTGCATCCAGTTTTGGTCACCACACTATAAAAGATGCTGAGGCTCTAGAAAGAGTGCAGAGAAGAGCAACCAAGATGATTAAGAGGCTGGAGGCTAAAACATACAATGAATGGTTGCAAGTACTCAGCATGGCTAGTGTAGTGAAGAGAAGGACCAGGGGAGAAATGATAGCAGTGTTCCAATATTTGAGGAGCTGCCACAGAGAGGAAGGGGTCAAGCTATTTTCCAAAGCACCTGAAGGCCAGACAAGGAATAATGGATGGAAAGGAAACCGAACAAGGAGAGATTCAAAGAGCCTTGGTGGCACAGCAGACAAAAAGTGCTGTTAAGTAACACCAGCTGCCTGCAATTACTGCAAGTTCAAATCTCACCAGGCTCAAGGTTGACTCAGCCTTCCATCCTTTCGAGGTAGGTAAAATGAGGACCCGGTTTGTGGAGGCAATAAGCTGGCTTTGTATTAAAAAAAAAAAAGAACACCACTTGGGGGGGGGAGGGGGCAAAAGCCCTACTAAGCAGGTATACACAAAAGTATGAAGGCTATTGCTTAACGCACTGTAAGCTGCCCTGAGTCTCCGGAGAAGGGAATAATAATAATAATAATAATAATAATAATAATAATAATAATAATAATAATAATAATAATAATAATAATAATAATAATAAAAAAACCACCTAGAAATAAGGACAATTTTTCTGACAGTGAGAACAATCAACTAATGGAACAGCTTCCCTTCAGACGTTGTGGGAGCTTCACCACTGGAAGCTTTCAAGAGATTGGATAACCATCTATCAGAAATGGTGTAGGGTCTCCTGCTTGAGCAGGGATTGGACTAGACGACCTCCAAGGTCCCTTCCAACTCTGTTAATCTGTTAAATCTGGGTTCCTAACCACGTTCCTGATCCGCCTCCGAGTAGCCATCACAGGACCCGGCTGTGTCAAGACGGCCACTTTGCCATCACAATGCGTGCTTTTATTTGTTCGACTCTTAATAGCGGGGACGACGTGTCGAAGGACACAATTCATTCGGGGGGAAAAGGGCCGTGCTACGAATTGGATTTGCCTGGCCACCACCTTCGCCTTGCAAAAAAAACAAAACAAAACCGTGCAACTTCTCTTTGCTGGGATAGGCGGGGCAGGACGGATGGCGGGGCAGCGGGAAAGAGATGGGAAAGGCAGCCACCAGCTTGAGGATTCCTCCCCCACTTCCCAGACGTGTTGCAATGGAGAACACAAAAGGCTCCCTTGGCCGCCCAAGCGAGAGGCAGAGTCTCCACCATACCGACCGCCTCTTTCTGCCAAGGCAGCCCCTTCCTCCGCCGAAAGCGTCCTCTGCCCCCGATTCCCCCTTCGCTTCGCCCACGGCAGCGAGATCCTCCCGCGATGCTCACCCCAGCCAAGAGCGCGCAGCCCGAGCGACTCCCAGGGTTATGTTATTGTTATGGAAGGAGGCGACACGGAAACTTCCATATCCCCGCCCCCTTGCTTTTCGATGATTGGTCCGCCGGCGCCGCGCTTGTTGCCATCCGGGATCCCGACCGGCTATTGGCTAAACGGGCCGTAGTGCTTTTTTTTTTCCCCCAGGGTTTCGGCCTCACGTGATGAAGAAGCCACGGAGCACGTGCCAATGTTTTGGTCGAAAGGAGGGGAGGAGAAGAGGGCAGGGTGGGGCGGGGTCAGCCCCCCCACCTCCCCATGGGCGGGGTTTCAGACCTTGGCTCCATTTTATGGTGCTGGACTTGTGGGTGGGGTGGGGGAGGGGGGCGAGATTATCGATCTACTGGATTTATCTGTTGAATTGATTGAACTGCGTGGGGTGCAAAGCTGTGTTTGCGGTACCGTAATTGCCGGAAAGTCAACACCGTAGGCGGTTTCGCACGCCTAGGCTTCCTTTTAAAGTAGAGATCGGGCTGCGAGGTTGAAATCTTGCTATACTTTGGAGAAGTTTGGCAGCACGTAGGTTTGAGTTTGACAGATATGTTGGCAGGTTTTAGGCGAGTGTCGAGTTTTAACCATTTGAATGTAGCTTGGCAAATTGGGGTGGGGGGGGAGGGAAGGAGAGAAGATTTCGAATTCCAATAACTTTTTAAGATGGTATAAAAGCAGGTACAAAGTATTTGGAGGGTTAAGGCTGGCAAGTGTCAGATAGATTTATCCCAGCTTTTTCTTGGCAAGGTGCTTTGAAAAGCTGCCTTCCCAGATATTAATCTGTGACATAAATATGATTTATATCCAGTTGTTAGGCAGCTCTCGGAGGCAGCTGAAAAGAGGGCAAACAAATCTTACAACAACAGTTAAAATTATTGCTGACCTTGACATGAGCTTGGTTGGAGAGAAGAATCTTAATTTTCTTGGGAAAATAAAAAATAATAATATTGCAGTTGACTGCAATTCCCAAAACGGTGTATGCCATTAGCATGGCCTGCAGAGAGGAAAATATATTTTTCTATGAGTTTGATCCTGAGGTTTTGGCCTCCTGATAGAGGCAGTCCTTGAGTTACAACCATTTGTTCAGTAATTATTCAAAGTTACAATGGCACTGAAAAAAGTGATTGATGATGGTTTTCACACTTATGACCATTGCAGCATCTCCATAGTCATGTGATGGAAAATTCAGATGCTTGGCCACTGGCATGTATTTATGACAGTGGCAATGTCCCTATGTCATCTGATCACTTTTGATTACAAGCAAAGTCCTTAGTAGGCTCCAGGCTTTCCTGCTGGATTTGCTGAAATTTAATGAGGTTGTGAGTTGTTCCCATGTCTTGCGACGAGCTGCATCCAGGCTGTGTAAGAGATCATTGGCAATCTTGGTCACCACTCTGTAGAAAAGCTACAAGACTCTTTGTTCCATCCTGGAATATAATCTTTTCTGAATCCTCGAGTGATCTATCTTTTATCTGAAGCAAGTACAGCCCTCACAAATCTATGGTAATGTTGACTTGTAGTGGGATCCATTGTATGATACCGTCAAGGCTTTGGCAAATTCTGGCCATTTGGCTTTATGAAAATTCCATCTGGGTCTAGGTGTGGAGCAAATTAGGGGAATCTGAATTCCGATTTCAAGCAAAACAGGGTAATGTTGACTATGAGGAAATTTGTCCAGAATACTCCTGGTTATTGGGAATGGCTGCATGTTTGGGCCTTCTGAGACAAAACACAAATCTGGGTTAGTTGCACATTTCCAGGCTGCAGATTGGAAAGTACCCTTGTCTTTAGCATCAAAAATCAAGTGGACTTTATTTGCAGCAGCCCAGTCATAAAGCTGATCCCCATTTTCATCAGAAGAGCTATAGATCCAGTTTACATGATGGCTGTTAAAATCACCTGCGTAAATTGCAGGTTGATATCCAAAACATACTATGGCCAGGATATCTGAGATGGCTTGTAAATGTTGACTATTGTGAGATCATGTAATTTTGAAGCAACTTCATGTGTATTGTTGTTTGTTGAGGTTGACAGTAGAAAAGCATATTCCTTCTGACATACATAGCTGTGCCATAACTGTGGTGGTACATGGCCCCAGTAGATCAAATCCTTGGATTTTACCTCTGCTGTATTGCTGATCATGGTTCTCTATATGTGTTTCTTGAAGAATGGCCATATCTATATTATCTATATATTTAAAAAAAGAATGGCCATTTTTGTTTATCCCTTGCCATGTACCGTATTTTTCGGAGTATAAGACACACCTTTTTTCCCCAAAAAGAGGGTGAAAATCTGGGTGTGTCTTATACTCCAAATGTAGCCCCACCCAGCTTCTTTCAGAGGCTGAAAAAAACATCAGAAATGAAGCTTCAGAAAAGAAGCCCCCAAACAGAGCTTCAGAAAAGAAGCCCCCAAACAGAGCTTCAGAGGCTTTTTTTTTTGAAGCTGTTTCAGAGACAGGAAAAAAAGTTTTTCTGAAACAGAGATTCAGAAGTTTCAGTGGCAGAAAAAAAAAGCAAAAAAAAGCAAGGCACAGAGCTCATAACCAAGGAACCTGTTGCTAAAATTCACCTCTGGGAACAGCTGATTGGGAGCATTCCAGGATCCGATCCACCTGCCAACCAGCTTTTTTCTTATTTTCCTCCCCAAAAACTAAGGTGCGTCTTATACTCCGGTACATCTTATACTTCAAAAAATACAGTACTTGGAGAGCCAGGAGTTCTACAAAGATGTCTGGGTGCCAATTGTCGTTAACTGCCAATTCTTCAATGTAGTCTGTCTGCCAATTGTTGCTAGATGTTTGGTTCACACTATCATGCTATCCAGGGTGCACCATGAAGAGGCGAACTAGCATCACACCTCATTGTTAAGTGGGGTGATCAGAGATAGAGAAAGATATATAGATATGTGTATATTAATACACATACACACACATATATGGAGAGAGGGAGAGAGGGAGGGAGAGAGATCACTCTCTTCTATGGGATCACCAGAAGTTGAGGTCCACTCAAGAGAGACTTTAATCATTTCATGTTCAAGCTAATAACCAGGAGGGAAAGAGATGTTGACAGGAGGAATTCTGGGAAGGGGCACTGGCCATGCTCTCCCTTATGCTCTTCCAACATGGTTTCTCCAGATCTGCTCTTTGAGAATCAAGCGTTGTGTTAAAGCTGCAATGACTAAAGATGTAATTAAGTTGGAAATATTGTGTTAAATATTTAAAGCCTCATTACCTTTAAATTTAGGAAAACCATTTTAATTTCTTTTCATTCTTAATATCCCTCTCTTCAACCATGTTGATTAAAGCAGTACTGTACACATGTTTACTTAAAACCATACGATTTCCCTAAAAGATTCGGATAGATGTGCATAGGGCTTGACTTGCTATTAGACAACTGAATGATTTGGGGCTTTGAAAAAGGGCAGCAAATTGATCTTTGATTTATCATTGTACTTTTATTTCCAAAGAAAATCATTTTAGCAAATTAATAATCTAGAGCAGGAGTGTCAAACTCGTGGCGTCATAGCAGTGTCACGTGACATATCACAATTTTTTCCCCCTTTGCTAAACTGGGCATGGCCAGCATGTGACACACCTGCACATTTGACACCCCTGGTCTAGAGAATAGCTTGACTTGAAGAGAAGAGCACCTTTTTCTATGACATTGGAAACAGCAAAATATTTTTGGCTGATCTTGGTAAAGGCATCTGCAAAGCCATATGTGCTTCATTGACTGCTATTTCTTTAAGAAAGAAGCCGACTCAAAGACATTTTACTTGAGATGAAATTATTTTTTTTCTTTCTGCCTTATATTTAAATTCCCACATTTTATGGAGTATATTCCACAGATGATGAGTACTCATTATCACTCCTTAAGTTTCTCCCTTCAAATTCAATTTTAGCTTTGGAAGAGTGCTCTAATTATATATGGATCATCACATCTTTTTAAAAAATGTATACTGGAAAGTTTGTGTTTGAGCTGAAATTAGAAATCAAGGTTGCTTTCATGAAATAATTTAAATTAAAAGAGCTTATTTCCCTATCCTAAAGTTTCTATTATAATATAACAATGAAATATGCATAGACATCTTTATCGTTTATCCTGTATATATCCCCGGTGAATCCCCAGTGAATCAGGATGGCTAAGGATCAGGCCAGACTTAATAATAGCAGCTACATGTCTTTCCAAGCATTGATTTTGTGCACAGACAAAGTAGAATTTGGGAGACTGATAGCACAGGGAAAAGGGTGACAATACCTTTACCCATTGCATCTCTATATGTCTTTATTCTCTTCAATCATTTTCTCATTTCACAGCTCACTACCCAAGTTACGAAAAGAACTCATTGTTTTCTCATTCTCATTCCATTCCTATGGGTTTGGCTGGACCTCTTCCATCCTGAAGAGTGCAAGAGAGAAGTGCCCTTGCTCTCTATTTTTTTTTTTCTTTCTCAATAGGAAACTGGGAATAGTAGATCAGAACTGACCTGTACTCACAAGATTGCAGAATTAGATCATTTCTTTTCCTCCCTGCTGGTGGCAAAGCAACCACCAATCATTCTCCTCAACATGAAGTGGGACAAGAATAGGCAATTGAGGAGAGCAGGTTTTAGCAATATGTCAAATTGCCTAACGGGTTGCTAATGCAGAAAGATGTGCCTTGCCAAATACCAGCAGAAGGCAAGACCTTCTATGTTCCTACTCTGACAACCCCTCCTCTGTGCCTCTCGCCTGTCAGTTTTACTCTTTCTAGGTCTATGGTAATGATTTTCTGAAAGAGATGAGTCCCATAGGAATGAAGTAACAGGGTAAAATGGCAGCTAACAATGAAAGAGTTCCATCCTATAAGAGCCACATTGGCTCATTAGTTAGAGTGTAGTACTGCAGGCTACTTCTGCTGATCACTGGCTGCCAGCAGTTTGGCAGATCGAATCTCACCAGGCTCAAGGTTGACTTAGCCTTCCATCCTTCCCAGGTGGGTAAAATGAGGACCCAGATTGTTGGGGGCAAGATGCTGACTCTGTAAACCGCTTAGAGGGCTGTAAAGCACTGTGAAGTGGT